CTTCTCCAGTCCAGTGTTTTGCTGGTTACTGAAAATGGAATCTTGGTGACTTTTCTGCCTGGGCTGGAAAGAAAAGGCTTGAATGGCATTCCTAAAAGTCTCAGCCTCTCTAGTAGCTAGGTCTACAGGCATGAGCCATTGGTGCCTGACCTACTTATATCTTCAAGTCTGTGCCTTGGTACATGCCGTTCCTTCGGCCATTTGCCTTCCACACTCTCTTGTTCATAGGATGAAGTCTCCTCACCTTTGGACTTCCAGAGCTCTGGTGTTATTTCTCTTCTCAGGAAGCAGGCTGAATATAGTCTTAGTTAGGTGCCAACTCAAGTCACATCTCAGGGCCATCTATCATGAACCCCCTGTACCATGTAGTAGGCTCAGGGGTAACATGTTTACTTACTACACAACTACATTCAAAAACAGAATCCATTTTCTTTTATTCCCAATAACAATGCATGCATGCATGCATGTATGCATGTATGTAGTATGTACCGTGTTCTGTATATACTAACTACTTATAAGTGGATTATAATTTTTTTCTTTTTATGAGGTACTTCTGAGAAAATGAACCATATCTATGACAGGGTTTTTTTTTATATATACATACACATATATGTATATGTGTACATATATACACATATACATGTTGGGGTGTGTGCACATATATTGTGTGTGTGCATATATATTTTTTTTTCATTCATTCATTTTGGCTGGTCCTAGGCCAGAATTTAGGGCCAGGGTGTTGTCCATGAGTTTTTTTTGCTCAAGGTTAGTGCTCTACCACCTAAGTCTCAGCTCCACTTCTGGCTTTTTGGTGATTAATTGGAGGTAATAGTCTCATGGACTTTCCTGCCCAAGTTGGCATTTAACTGTGATCCTCAGATCTCAATCTCCTGAATAGCTAGGATTATAGGTATGAACCCTCAGCACCTGGCTTTATTTTTATTTTAAAATTTTAATTAAGTATTGTACAAAGAGATTACAATTCCTTAAATCAGGTTATGAGTACAGTGCATCTTGATTAATGTCATCCCTTCTACAGAAATCATGAATTACACTTTTACCACTAAAATTCATCATTAAACACTTTCTTAACTAAGCTAGGTGATCCAATTATCTAATTTTGTAAACTACCTGGGAGAAAACTACCTGGTGCAGGATCCTGGGCGGGAGCTGGTGCAGGAACTTCTGGCATTTGCTGCTCAGTCATGACTGCCATGGTAGGAGCTTCAGCCATCATTTGTTGAAATGGAAATGAATAAAAAGCTTGAGCTTGCTCAAGGGAATAGCTGAAAGAACAATAGAGTACAATTTATAATGATGTGATTATCCAAATGCTAGTTTAAATGATCAGCTATTAAAAAAAAAAACTTGCTGGGTGTCAGTGACTCACGTCTGTAATCCTAGCTACTCAGGAGGCTGAGATCTGAGGACTGTGGTTCAAAGCCAGGTAGAAAGTCGGTAAGACTCTCCAATAAACCACTCAGAAAACCGGAAGTGGTACTGCGGCTCAAGAAGTAGAGTGCTAGCCTTGAGCTAAAGAGCTAAGGGACAGTGCTCAGGCCCAGAGTTCAAGCCCCACAACTGACCCTCCCCCCCCCCAAAAAAGAGAAAACAAAACAAAACAAAAAACCTTCAAGATTCAAATATTTTGCAGACAGATTGTAGTATTTATTTAGAGTAGATAACAGGGGAGGAGAGGTTTATTTTCTTCAGTGCACATTCAGCTGATCTATGCTGAGTGCTTACTAATCAAATAGACTGTTTAAGGGAAGTTTTGTTCCTTTGGTTTCTGCTTTAGGAGAAAAAACAAAAAAACAAAACAAAACAAAAAAACACCCTTTGAGACAGCATCTCCCTGTGTAGCCCAGGCTAGCCTGGAATTCACAATCTCCTCTATCAGCTTCTCCGGTGCTGGGAGTACAAGCATCTATCATCACTACCACCCACTCTCACTGTTTAATGACAGTGTGCCACCAATAAAACTTACTGGTTCTGTGAAGTCAGCCAGTACTTTCTCTGAAATGAGATCATAGGAATTTCCTAGTAATAGCTGTGAAAGGCTCTTCAGTTTATATGGACTGGGACTGAACAAAGGGCCTTGAGCATGCTGGGTAAGCGCTCTACCACTAAGCTATACCCTAGTAGCTCTACCACTAAGCTACACCCTAGTAGCTCTACCACTAAGCTACACCCTAGTCCCATATAATCACAACAAATTAGTTACCAAACCAATGCTGAGGGTCTGTTAGGTCTGATTTAGAAGGCAACCTGGCTACCACTATTCTCCATATCCTCCATGTTCCTATTACCTCTCAAGTGCCACCATTAGATCTCAATATATACACTTGACAAAGTCCAAATTATAAACAGTAACAGCCACTTTAGAATTCTGCAATATTGGCCAGGCTCATGCCTGTAATCCTAGCTGCTCAGGAGGCTGAGATCTGAGGATCATGGTTCAAAACCAGCCTGGGCAGGAAAGCCTGTGAGACTCTTTATCTCCAATAAACTACTCAGAAAAGCCAGAAGTGGCACTGTGGCTAAACATACTTTGTCATCTTCACTTAAATAAGTACACATGATGCCAAATACCAAATAATCTGAACTCTTAACTCGAGAGGCTTAAGTGGCCTGGGATCAGCAGAACTATTACAAATGTGCACCTGACATTGCTATGTGTCAGAGTGTGTATTCACCTATGCACAAGCTATAAAAAGCTGTCAGCACAGCCGGGTTCCCCTGCTGGCTCAAGCCTGTAATCCTAGCTACTCTGGAGAGTAAGATCTGAGGATCTCGGTTCAAAGCCAGCCTGGGCAGGAAAGCCCGTGAAACTCTTATCTCCAATAAACCACCAAAAAAATGGAAGTGGCTTTGGTAGAGCGCTAGCCTTGAGCTGAAGAGCTAAGGGATAGAGCTCAGGCCCAGAGTTCAAGCCCCACAACCAACAACAACAAAAAGCTGTCAGCACAAAGATTTAAGGCAGGTCAAAATTCTGAGTTCATCTAACTATTCCTCATGTAGTACTGATTTCAAGTTTCTTCCTAATTTGCTCAATGTTTCGTGCTCAGAACCAAACACCCCAGATATGGCCTCATCAGCCTGAAACTGAAGAGGGCTAACAACTTCCTCATTCTGGGGACGTATCATGACACCTGCTGTAATCTTATTAATCCATACTGAGTTTACCATCACTGCAAAACTTCTCCCTCATTCCACAAGGTCACTGACTTTTCTGTACCTCAGTTAGGGAGCAAGCCTCTTCTGGTTGGTTAGTGATGATTCACCAGTCCATCTAGCTGGGATTACTAAATCTAGCAATTCTGTAAGCCCCTCCTAGAATTGGGACAGGATACTCACAAATTTCCTAAGCATGCCATGAGCACTCAAAATCTGCTAAAGCATAAAACTGGGGACAGAGCTACCTGGCAAACCAAGAGACCTCTCTTCAGTCTGCCCTTGATTCTTTTAGTGGTAAGCCAGGTGTTTATTTCACTTAAGTGAACTTCCATCTTCATCTTGCCCACCAAGAGAAAAGGCTAGGGAGCCAAACAGTGAAGCAAGACTGGATTCAAATGGCCACTGTACCATTTGATAGCTGGACAGACAACTTCTGTTAACTCCTAATACCCCAATGTTCATGCCTGTACAATGGGAAGCATAGCATCTAATTCACTGGTTGTGAGAATTCAACTAGCTAGGGAACATAAAACAGAACCTGGTATATGGTAAACATCCTATAATAGCCTATTTCAGTATCCCGTGGTGTCTATCTAGTATATAGATCTTGCTGTCTTAGGGTACATTCCACTTCTGGGAGAATTAAGAGATCCATGTGTTAACATGCTCATCAATTATCATCTACAAGACCTCCAACACTATATTCTGGCCTTTCTTATGAATTATAATGTATCCAGAGCAGGCCCTAACACAAAGACAATTTTCAGGCCAAGTTCAAGAAGTATCCTGCCGGGCGCCGGTGGCTCTCGCCTGTAATCCTAGCTACTCAGGAGGCTGAGATCTGAGGATCGCAGTTCAAAGCCAGCCCGGGCTGGAAAGGCCTGGAGACTCTAATCTCCATAAACCACTCAGAAAACTGGAAGTGGCGATGTGGCTCAAGTGGGAGAGCGCTCGCCCAGAGCTGAAGAGCTGAGGGACAGCACCCAGACCAGAGTGCAAGCCCCACGACCGACAAAAAAAAAAAAAAAGTATCCTATATAGAGCAATATTATCTACTCTCGGGCCCGTAACGCTGCTTTCCTGAGACGTTGGGGGAGGAAGCCATCATATCGGATAAAGTTGAACAAGAAAGCTGGAGTTGATCATCAGCAGGAGGTCGATCTTTATTTACACTTCTTTACATGGTCTTAGTACGATCGAAGAGGGTAAAGAGATGCAGCCAAGAATGGCACTCGAGAAGCAGCGTTTACCGGAGACCGCAGCTCATCAGTGTATTTTAAAGCTGGCTAGGGGTGGCTGGGGACGGGGCTGGAGGCCTGGGCGATGCCAGCGGGAAAGGCGGTTCCGGCCTACAGTGCGCACGCGCGGCCCGGCCTTTGTACTGGGCCGCGGCGTTGCCGACCCCGCGTGCGCGCGCCCGCCCTCCCGCCGCCGCCCCCACCCCCGCCCCGCGCCGGCCTCGTCGAGGAGGGGGCGTGGGGCGGTGCCGTCCCCGCGTTACCTGCCCGCGTCCGGCGCTTCCATGGCCAGCGTCCGCTGGCGCGGGCGGCTCCTGCGACCTGGCAGGTTGGCGGTCGGTCTCTGCTGCACGGCGGTGGGCGCGCGGCGACTCGACGCCAGACGCTTGGACCCGATGGCCGGCCGGGCTCGACGACGGCTGGACTCAGCCCCACCCCCCGCAGGAACCCCGTCCGCGCGGCGCCGCCGTCCCCTCCGAGCCGGGTCCCTCGTGTGCTCATGGTCACGTGACACCGAGCCGCCCAATCCCGGGGCGCTTCTCCGGACGCCCCAGTCCCGCCGCTAGGCCTGTCGGGAGCCGTGGGACAGCGAGGGGCGGAGCGGGGCGCTCGGCCGATGTCAGCGATTCTCGCGCGGGTTTCCGGGCCGGCGGGCGCGCTGCGGGAACGGATGGCGTCCTGCGGGGCCGAGTAGGTGGGCGGCGCGATCGAGTTGCTTGCACCCCAGGTTTTATTCCAGAATTGGTTGCTTCAGTCGTCAGTTACTGTGATGGGGGGGGGGGGGACTTTGGAATCAGGGGACCTGGAAGTCGAGGTCAGGTTCTAATCTGTAAAGGTGCCTGGTGAGATGTAAAAACTTTGCCAGCTTGATTTTGGAATTAGGGAAATTCTGCCTTTTGAAGTCTTAATACTTGATGTGATTCCAGCCTCCTTACCTAGGGTCTTACAGACCCGTCTCGCAGCGCCCACCCGATCACCATTTGGGCAAGACTTCACTAGATTACTTCGTGGACATAGGCTTTTGTTTCCCTAACTTGCAGGGTTAAAATCACGGCTCTGTATTAATCGCCCTGTTCAGTGCCAGTGGTAACAGACCTCCAGACCTTTAAACATGGGACCTCGTTGGCGTGTAGTCTTCATTCTGTAATTAGAGTTGTCTGAAGAGGTCCAACTCCAGATGTTCCACATGTCAGATATGGCTGCTAGCTCCCCCAAACGCCAATTGGAGTCTATGCCAGGCACTGTTGGCTGCCCCTGTAAACCTTAGCTATCCAAGAGGCTGAGATCTGAGGATTCTGGTTCAAAGCCAGCCAAGGCTGGGAATGCCCTTAACTCCAATTAACTACCAAAAAAAAAAAAAATGCCAGAAGCAGAGCTGTTGCTCAAGATGTAGATTGCTAGTTTTGAAGTAAAAAGCTCAGGGACAGTGTCCAGGCAGAGTTCAAGCTCCGGGACTGGGGGCTTGGATACACACACCCAGACACAGGAGTCAAGTAGTGATGAAGAGAGAGGGAAGTCAAAGGCTTATGAAGGCCACAATCACTTTAGCCCATCTTCTCTGTATAGACAAGAATTTAGCTTTAAACAGAGATGAGAAGTCTGCAGACAATCCTCGTCTCTGTGTGGCCTATTATCTCTACTCTAGTTCAGTGAGGGGTTTCTGTAGTTGTTACAGATGTCATCACTTGAAAGCAGAGGCGGGCACCGGTGGCTCATGCCTGTAATCCTAGCTCCTCCGGAGGCTGAGATCTGAGGATCGAGGTTCAAAGCCAACCCCGGGCATGAATCCTTGAGACTTCGATCTCCAACTAACCACCAGAAAACCAGAAGTGGTGCTGTGGCTCAAGGGGTAGAGTGCTCACCTTGAGCTGAAGAGCTCAGGGACAGCGCCCAGACCCAGCGTTCAAGCTCCACAACCAACCAAAAAGAAAAAGAAAAAAAGGAGTAGGCTGGTTCTCAGAAAATGATCACTTCTCTAGGGTGTAGCCTCATCATTGTACTTGTCTTTCCCTGGGTAGGCTCTGGTGTTCTGTAGGGGTAGTTTTGGTTCCTGATCACAAAGATGTTACTGATCAGTTCTGTGCTTCTGGAACTTAACATGATTGTAGGGAGGGCACTCAGAGTGAAGGACACAGGTGCAAAATGGAAGCTAAAGTGACAATTTTTTATCCTTTTTAACCAACTTGTGGGTCTAAGAGGACAGCTTTTGAGCAAAAGCTTTTAAGTACCTGATAGAAAATTCGTAATATTTAAAAATGTTACGGAACGCCTGTGAATCTACACTTGTATGTGCTACCCAGAACCTGTCATATGATAAGTGACTATTGAGGGAATAAACAAATGGCCATCCTTCCCCTCCGATTTTGGTAAGACTCCAAACCACAGCTTGCAAAAGTGCATGTAGCTTGCTGGGTTGTTTAAAAAAGAATTCTGGTCACTGCAAGTGTTTGTGAAGAGCAGCTTCTTAATATATTTTCACTCAGGGGATTTGCCCTGGGGCAGCAAGGAGCTCTCCTGTAAGGGTTCTGTGCCTAGACCTAGGCCACAGCTCAGTCGGGCCTGACAAAAGAAAGCATGTGGGATTATGGGAGGAGTTGTTGGGATGAAGGGTGATGCAGGGCTCCCCCAGCCCACAGTGTCTCAGTCTGAGCTTGCTTTGCTTGTGGGCCTGGCCTGAGAGCAGAGTCCCTCAAGCTCTACAAGTGTCTGGAGCCGGAGCCCGTGGCTCGCGCCTGTAATGTGGAGGCTGAGCTCTGATGATCCCGATTCAAAGCTAGCCTGGGCAGTCAAAGCTCTTTCACTTAACTACCCAAAACGCCGAAGTGGAGTGGCAGAGTTCGAATCCCACCCCCTGAAACTTGTGCAAAAGGACAGATCGACGCAGCAGTAAGATCCCAATAGCACACTCGGGGGAAGCCCAATGACAGCCAGGGAACAAAGAGGAGCCGCGAGCTTGGGAGACAAGCAGCGAGCGATGATAAACGTCGCGCTCCTCCGGGCCCCACTTCCGCCCGGGTCACGGAAGCGCGCCGCCCCGCACGCCGCACGCCTGGTGCTCCGCTGATCCCTTCCGGCGAGGTGCCTGTCACGCTAGCCTTTCCGGTCCGGCCCGCTCTTGTTCCGCGCCCGCTGCTGAGCGCACTTCCGCCGGAACTGGGGAGAGAGCGGCTCCCCCTGCGCGGGTGCTCCCGAAGGTCGGGTCCGGCGCCCCGCGGGGCCGGGGTGGGGGCAGGGGTACTGTCTGCCGCGCCTCTCTCCCTGGAGGGTGGGGTGGGTACGCGGGGAGCCCCTCACCGATGGATCCAGGCCTGAAGGGTGCCCCTTGGCCCCGGCCGAGCGTTCGTCCTCTCGGTGACCTGTCAGAACCCGTGCGCCGGGGGGTAGGGGAGCACCCCGAACCCCTGTAACTGTGCGGCTGGTCGTGAGCCTAGAACCTTCTAACGCTGCCCCTTTTTCCTCCCCGCCAGCCCTCCGACCATGCCCGCAGGTGTGTCCTGGCCCAGCTACCTGAAAATGTTGGCGGCCAGCCTCCTGGCCATGTGCGCCGGTGCCCAAGTGGTGCACAGGTACTACAGGCCCGACCTGGTGAGTGCGCGCCTGGTGAGAGCAGCGCGGGGCGCCCCAAGGCCCTTGGGCGCACGTCTGCCCGCCCTGAGACCCCCGTGTTGGCCTCCACTTATCCCTCAAGCAGCCCCTTGCCTCAGACCTCCCTCCACAGCATAGCCGCTGCCCACCTCTGGCCTGTCTCCCACCTTTCCCTACTTTCATCCCTCTCGATCCTTGCAGCTTCCACAAACCCATCAAACGTAAACCTACCTCAGCCATTCTTTTTCTCTGACATGTCGTCTTCCCACGTCTTGGCTGGTTTTCCTTCTTTTAAACTTCAGATCATTGCTCAGATACCTCCTCCAGCTTTGACAGTTTTTTGGCCAGTTAGCTCCCAAATGATTTTTGGTTTTGTTGTTGTTGATCCAGTACTGGGGCTGGAACTTAAGGCCTCAGTGTTGTCCCTCAGCTTTTTCTCTCAAGGCTGACACTACCACTTGAAACACAGCTTCACTTTCCATTTAAAAGCTGTTTGGTGGTTAATTGGAGATGAGCCCAGATTGGCTTTGAGCTGTGATCCTTAGATACCAGCCTCTTGAGTAGTGAGGATTACAGGCATGAACTACTGGTAAATAGCCCAAATGATTATTAAATCCTTTTAAGACCTTCCTTTCCATAGAGCATGTGTCACAATTTGAAGGTATTTATTCTTCTGTTTGCTTCCATTGAATGCAAAACTACAGAATAGGAAGGTATTAGTCTGCTTTCACTTTTGAATCTCAAGTCACAGTAATCCTTCGCGTCCATCCCAGGGAACCATGTGCAGGCAAGCAGGCACAGAAGAAAGATTATTATAAGGTTTATTAGAGGGGCCATATTTCCCAGGAGAAGGAACGCATGGCTTCTGTCCCTATCCGAGTGGCAGGAGGGTCTGGGTGCCATGTGGGTCTGGGCAGAGAGAGGGAGTGGCCAGCTGTGTGGCCCAAACTCTTAAGGCAGGGAGGAGCTCAGGTATGGGTGCAGCTGGGGACCAAAAGTTGGGGATAATACTAACATTCTCTGCTTTGTTGTTTAATAAAAATAGGGGAACTTGGGCTGGGAAGGTGGCTCAGTGGTAGAGTGCTTGCCTTGCATGCCTGAGGCCCTGGGTTCGATTCCTCAGCACCACATAAGCAAAAAGAAAAAAAAGCCGGAAGTGGCGCTGTGGCTCAAGTGGTAGAGTGCTAGCCTTGAGCTGAAGAGCTGAGGGACAGCCCCCAGGCCCAGAGTTCAGGCTCCACGACCAGACCCCCCCCCCCAAAAAAAATAGGGGAACTAGCCCAGGGGATATGTGGGTGGAAGTCATTTCTTCTGAAGCTATTTCCTGCTGTAAAGGGGTGAAGTAGTCAGGGGTCCCTGATTTGTTGGCTGGGTGGGGTACCATTGAAGAGGCATTTGCTTGCTAGTTTGGTTGGTAAAGGTACTCATCTTTTCCATGACAATAGTTATCTAAAATGCATGACACAATTAGTAAAAGGCAAAAATTGCTGTTAGCAGCTCAAGAAAGGAATAAGCCAGGGAGGGATTGATTCCCAGAGGGGCTATCAAAGTCCTTAGATTGCCTTTTCTGTCTTGGATTGGAGACATAGCATGGTACCTGACTCCCCGCATCCTGGAGTGGAGAGTAAGACTTTTCCTGCTTTAGGATCACAGTAACCTGAGGAGGAGGTAGCAGAGATATTTAAAGGTACCAGAGCCAACTGGTATCATGGACTCTTTTGGCTACTTCCTGTTGGCCTGGGGGGTGTCAAGGAGTCTCTGGAGCTGGAGTCTTTAAGGTCTGGGTCTGTGCTAGGCAGGCAGGGCAATGTAAGTGAAATCTCTGATTGCCTGTAGTAACAGGTTGGCTTTGACTTGTTCCCAGGTGGTGTCCTGGGTGGAGGGGCTGTTGTCCTGTTAAAAGAAACTTTTGGAAAGGTCAGGCAAAAAGGTAACAAGGTGAGTTAACATGAATAACATAGGAGGATACATACTGGCCATGGGCCAGAAAAGTTCCATTTGGAGCATAATCCCAGTTGTGGCCCATTACAGGGAAGGAGGAATAACTGGACTGAGGGCAGGGGGTGTCTAGGCCTTTTTGGCAACTGGGTAGGGGAGAGCATAATGGACTGGTTGGGAGTATCCAGTCAGGGGCTACTATAAATACAAATAGCAGGTAACAAAGGCAAGACTGTAACTTTCTGTCCAGTTAGAAGGTGACATTAGGTAGGCAAGTAACTATTTCTCTTGATCTCCCAGCTCTGATTAAGATTAATTTTGAAAGGTATAGAGTAGTGAAAGAAGTCTGTCACAAAAGCCCCTTTTATTTCCAGTTAAAGCAACAAGGAGATCAATGGAGATAGAGGTTACTTATAACTTAACGATTGACTAACAATTACTTGTCAGACTTTTGTAATAACAAACTTCAGTAGATGTTTTTAAACTGCAATTGATTGGTACTCTAGGTACTGCCATTGCCTCTAGGCAGCCTGTTTAAAATGGCTTATATACAACAATTAACTTTTAACAAATTTACAGATCTTTTCTTGGGCTACAGCAGCTTAGCCTGTTTAGCACTCTGGTTTGCAGAAGCGTTTTTCTGGCTGGCTGAGAAAAGTTGATCTTTTGTGACCCTAACAATGCCTACCTGTGTAGGCCTTTAGACAAATCTCAATAGGGACATAATCTCAGGTCCACAGACATACTTTCCTTAACAGATGAATTCGTGTGGCTGGTGCCAGCCTAAGAGTCACTGCCAGTTAGTACTTTTTTTTGAGCAGATACAGGGAGTTTGGAATTTAAACTATCCCCCACATTTTACAACCTTACCTTTCTTTACTGCCCACTATCACAGATGACTGGCAAGTTCCTGCCCAGTTATGAAGTAGACAGACATGATGGACTTTAGAAAGGCATGCTTATGAACTTTGAAAGGCATGTTTATGAGTGTGAAATGTGACCAATAAATATTTGGAGAATGAAGAGTGTGAATGTGGGCATCCACAGGGGAGAAATTTTAACTTAATGGTAATAATTTCTGCCTTTATTGAATTGGTAACTGAGAATTAGAAATTAAATTTGATGGGGAAAGGAGATTAAACAGTATCATGCAAGTAATTGCCAGATTCTGCCAGGAGTTACAGCACGGACAGTGGTTTAAGTACAAGTTAACAAACATGTTGTTGCAGTTAATTAATTGTACTTTATTGTTGTTAGGTAGTTAAATTGGCTGCTGAGTAAAGAGACCACCACGGGGTATTCAGGCTAGGGATAGGTTTATTCAGTGAACTGCCTGCAGACCCCAGGCCAAGTTGGTGAGAGACTGGCTGTCCCCGGGCCATATCTTATCTAGGGTAAGGGCAGGGGAGAAGGTGTGGCCTAATGGGAGGTGTGGCCAGGTGGGAGAAGGGTGTGGCCACATTGGGATCCAGATGTAACCTCAGTGGAGGAGGATGTGACTTCCTCCAAGTGTGCCAGTTGCCTAGGTAACAAAGGTACTGGGCAGAGACTTAGCCGAGAGGAGGGAGGAGTCTGCCCTCCTTGGAGTGGACCTTACATTTGTCACTACAACTTTGGAGGTGTTTATCCCTGTTTCCAAGTGAGGAATCAGGTTCATAAGAGAGAAAATGATTTCTCAACATCAGAGCTTCATGAGGCATTGCTTTAAGGATCTAAAGCCCAAGCTTTCTGTTTGGTGTCTCTCTTTTTTCTTGTCAATAGTACCCACACTTGTAAGTAATCCAAATTGAAGTTCAGGTGTGTGGAGTAAAAATTGAAAACCCCTCCACTTGTAACCCTCTTTCTCCTGTGTACTCCCCATTACCACAGTGCTTGTGGAGGTTTGTTCCATATATGTAGGAGTTCATATATGCATGTCTCTACAACTTAATTTGTTTTGTTCACATTGATGTGCATAGACCACATAGACATTTGTGTATATTAATGTTCTTTATTTTTCCTTCTTCCTCCTCCTCTTCCTCCTCCCTCCTCCTTCCTTCTTTTTCCTTCTTTCTTCTTCTTTATTTCTTCCTCTTCCTTCCATGCCAGTATTGGGGCTTGAACTCAGGGCCAGGGCACTGCCCCTTAGCTTTTTCACTCAAGTCTAGTCCTCTTCCACTTGAGCCACACCTCCAGTTCCAGCTTTTTGATAGTTAATTGGAGATGACACTCTTAGACTGCTTTGCTTTGGTTGGCTTCCAGTTGTGATCCTTAGATCGTAGCCTCCTAAGTACCTAGGATTATAAAGATTTCTGGCTGGTGTTTTTAATCATTTTATAGTTGTTTTTTTCACTGTGTGTGTGTGTGTGTGTGTCCTGGTCTTGAATTCAGGGCTTAAGTGTTGACGCTGAAGCTCTTTTGCTCAGGCTAGCACTTGAGCCACAACTTCACTTCTGGCTTTTTGGTGGTTAATTGGAGATAAGACTTTCATAGACTTAGTTGCCTGCTTTGGCCTCAAAACATGATCCTTAGGTCTCAGCCTCTTGAGTAGCTAGGATTACAGGGGTGAGCCACTGGTGTTTGTTTAATGTGGTACTGGGGAGCAAACTCAGAGCCTTATGCTTGTAAGGCAACTGTTCTGCAACTGAGCTAAACCTCAGCCCTTTCGTTGTGTTGTGTTTTGTTACATAGCTCTTCCATAAATTACTTGTGCAATCCCTTTTGACATTTAGGTGCTATGTTGTTTTTGTACAGACAGTACAACAACAGTCTTTTGCCACTTCAGACTGCTTCTTTTTTTAAGAATGAAGATCCTTTCTGGGAGTGTAGCTTAGTGGTAGAGTGTTTGCCTAGCTTGCATAAAGCCCTGGGTTCGATTCCTCAGTACCACATTCATAGAAAAAGCCAGAAGTGGAGCTGTGACTCCAAGTGGTAGAGTGCTCGCCTTGAGCAAAAGAAGCTCAGGGACAATAGTGCCCAGGCCTGAGTTCAAGTCCCAGGACTGGCAAAATTAAAAAAAAAAATCTCTACCTCCAGTTTCCTGCCTCTAGCTTAGTCAGGAATAGCAATCAGCCCTTCACCAAGGAAAGAATGCCTAGAATTTAACCCTGGGATGTTGAGTTTTTGATTTCCTGATCTCAGAATTGGGAGTATGCAAAGGTTGTTACCAGCACCTGCCTTTACTTGAGGCAAGGCAGTTGAGTAAGGTCATACTCAGCTTGGCTGGGTAGTAATAATGGCAGTCCAATACTTCTGTAAGCAAGAAGGGCAGGCCTGCGGCTGTTTAGGATATTCTTTTACTAATATTTAAGAATGTAGTCTTTTAGAATTGTACCATCCATTGCTGTTACTGTTATGACAGCTAGCAACTCATTTATTTTTTGTAATAAAGACTTTCAGTCTGACAGAAAAGAGGAGACCATGGTGCTAGCAAAGGTTCGTGCTTAGGGCTGTTGTAAGGGAGAAATGTTAAGAAGGCTTTATTCAAACTAGGTGCTAGTGGCTCATGCCTGTAATCCTAGCTACTTAGGAGACTGAGATCTGTGAATCACAGTTTGAAGCCACCCTGGGCAGAAAAGTCAGTCATGGGGCTTGAACTATGGGCCTCGGAGCTCTTCAGCTCAAGGCAAGCACTCTACCACTTGAGCCTCAGCACCACTTTCCGTTTTCTCGTGGCTAATTGGAGAAAAGAGTCTCATGGACTCTCCTTATAAGGCTGGCTTTGAACTGTGATCCTCAGATCTCAGCCTCCTGAGTAGCTAGGATTACAAGTGTGAGTCACTGGCACGCTGCTTTATCTTCAATTGTACCTGCACAAAGATGAATGTGGAGCTGTGATTCAAGCAGTAGAGTGCCAGCTTTGAATGAACAAGAGTGCAAGGCCCTGAATTTAAGCTCTTGTACCAACACACACACACACACACACACACACACACACACACACACACACACACAAAACGAAGGGAAGGAAGGAAGGAAAAGGAAAGGAAAGGAAAAAGAAAAGGTAAAAGACTTTGTTCTAGCTGTCCAGCCTGGCCTATGAGAATAGCACAGGAGGAAACTTTACTTATGTGGAAGCCCAGGAGTCATAATTCCTATTTCTTACTGCCTCAGTGCTGATACCAACAGATTCCCTTGGATTATTCTGGAGGAAAAAAAAAATACATGTAGCTAGGCACCAGAGGCTCATGCCTGCAATCCTAGCTACTTAGGAGACTGAGATCTGAGGATTGCGGCTCAAAGCCAGCCTAGGCAGGAAAGTTCATGAGACTCTTATTTCCAATAAACTACTCAGAAAAAGCCAGAAGTGGCACTATGGCTCAAGTGGGAGAGTGCTAGCCTCAGGGACAGTGCCTAAGCCCTTAGTTCAAGCCTTAGGATCAACAAACGGAAATGCGCATGCACATGCACGCACATAAACACACACACGTACACAACTCACTATGTCTCACCCCTACTATTGTAGTACTCAATGCACTGTCTGTCCTCTCCTCTATAATTCTTAGTAGCTTTCTGACATCTGCCTTCCTCTGCTTTCCTGCAGTCTCTCCTCAACAAAGCTACCACTGACATCTTTTTATTTATTTATTTATTTTTATTTTTTGTCCGGTTGTGGGGCCTGAACTCTGGGCCTGGGCACTGTCCCTCAGCTCTTCAGCTCAAGGCTAGCGCTCTACCACTTGAGCCACAGCGCCACTTCCGGCTTTTTTTTTTCTGCTTATGTGGTGCTGAGGAATCGAACCCAGGGCCTCATGCATGCAAGGTAAGAGCTCTACCACTGAGCCACCTTCCCAGCCCCACTGACATCTTTTTATACTGGAGTCATCAGTTCATGTCATTCTAATGTCCAGTATCTTCCCATTTCAGAGTAAAAGCCACTGGAGACTTTATACCCTCTACTCTTGTTTCCTAATCTGCTTTGAACAATTTGTATTAGTGTAACTAACAACCCAGGAATATGAAGTTACACTTATGCCCCAGGTCTCTTTGGGATTCTACTGGCCTGAAACACTCCTCCCTACCTGCATGACTGCCTTCTCTTTCATGTCTGTTCAGAACTCACCCAGCCAATAGGCACGTGAAAAGATGCTCAGCTTCATTAACCATCAGTGAAATGCCACAGAGAGTGCTCACAGCATACCCACTAGGGTGGCCACAATAATCCAGGACATGTATTGCCAGGGACATGAAAAACTGGACCTCTGTACCCTGTTGATGGGAAAGCAAAATGGTGCAGTGCTTTGGGAAATAGCTGTTAAGGCCTCAGACAGGGTCAGCCTATGACTCAGCAGTCATGAAGAAACATGTCCACATACCAACTTATGGGAACTTGTTTGTACATGTTCACAGCTGCATTATTTAGTAGAGTCAAGAGGGTGGAAACAGTCCAGATGTCTATTAGCTGATAAATGCATAAAAGGTGGCATATCTATACTATGGAATATTAGTAATAAAGAGAAGTACTGATCTATGTTACAACATAGGATGAACCTTGAGAACAGCATGCATTATGAAAGGACCCAGTCACAAAGTACCATGTATGATTCCTTTTTATAAAATGTCCAGAATAGGCAAATCTATATTGACATAAATAGAACTCTGTTGGAACCAGATTAGGAATTAATATTAATGGGTATGAAGTTTTTTTTGAGGGAGGTAAAAATGTTCTGAAATTTATTATAAAAGACTCACAACTCTGAATATATCATACTAAAAACAATTTGTGGTGTTTCGGATCATACATATACTGGGCCAGCAATCTACCAGAGCCAGCCCTGAATTGGACATGTTAAATAAGGAATGGTGTGGAATGAAAATTATATCCCAAATAAAACAGAACACCTCTACTTTTCTTGATTAGCTTCCTCCAGTGGAAGGATTTTTTATCTTTTTTTCATTGCTTTGTGCATTAAACATAGGAGGCACTTAATTTTTTTTTATTTTTGAGTAAGTGAATGGATTTCTAATAGCTGTGTCCTTTGCTAGTTGCGTGGTAGGGAGTCAGCACCACATTCAGGAATGAATTTCCAGATGTGGAAAGTTTTACCAGAGTTGGTGAGCCCATCTGAGAATCAGTGCAGACTTTCCCTCTGTGAGTCCTGGGGACCTGGGCATTGCCAGGATGGTAGAGTTATATATACAAGGCTAGAAAAAGATTTAGATCAGGCAGAGGTTCTCACAGTTTTTTTTGTTTGTTTTTGTTGTTGTTGAGTAACAAATGGGGTATTTTTTTAACTTTAGAAAATCCTTCAGATCACATTGAATTATGGCTTAAGAAAGCACTGGTATCTGGTTTGTTTTGTTTTGTTGTCTTTTTGTAGACAATACCTGAAATTCCACCAAAGCCTGGAGAACTCAAAACAGAGCTTTTGGGACTGAAAGAGAGACAACACAAACCTCAGGTTGCAGAGCAGTAAAAACTTCAGAACTCAACGATGCCAAGAATTCTGTAAATGAGAAGTCTTAAATATGTATTAAACATAACATTGTGTTAAACTCCTTGTGGCTAAGCACCTAATGCTGTGCTAATAGCAGAATTGGTGCTTTGTCTATATTCACTGATAAGGTGGACTTGTCATTATGGTTTGACCAAAATGCCAAACTACCTATTCTCAGTCTCTTGCATGTGGACTGGAAGATAGTTGTCTTATATATCATGTAAGAGTGAGCATTTGCCATATTTCCTGCCATGTTAGTTCTGGCTTTTCTCTGAATTAGCTTGAGTATAATGGCTGATGAGAATTATAAACTTAAACATAGTAAAATTGATATTGACAATGAATGTATATGAGACCCAAGTTATTATTTCTGTAAATAATAAAAGTACTTGTATTAAACTACATTATGTCAAATATTCTCTTGGAGTTGTGTCCATAATAATACTGATCTGATCTGTCAAAAATGCTGCAAAATTTGAGAAACTGCAGATTTGAGAAGCCAAATTCAAATTGGCATTTAATTTTTCTTAAAAAAATATAGAGAGAGGCTGGGAAGGTAGCTCAGTGGTAGAGTGCTTGCCTTGAATGCATGAGGCCCTGAGTTCGACTCCTGAGCACCACATAAACAGCAAAAGCTGAAAGTGGCTCTGTGGCTCAAGTGGTAGACTGCTAGTCTTGAGCTGAAGAGCTCAGGACAGCGCCCAGGCCCAAAGTTCAAGATCCACAACTGACCCCCCAAAAAAATAAATATACACACACACACACACACACACACACACACACACACACACATACATAGTGGGGCACTGGTGGCTCAGGAGATTGAGATCTGAAGGTCATAATTGAAAGCTGAAAGAGGCACTGTGGCTCAGGTGGTGGGAAAAAGCAAACCAAGAAAACCGAACAAAAAGCAGTGGGGAAAGAGTAAAAGAGGAAGAGAACAAAATAATACAGAATGACTGCCTTTTGTTTTATGTTATTTTTCCATAGAAAGTTTTTCACAGTTCTGCATCTTTAGAGAGGATGTCTAGACAAAGAATTCTTTGCCAATGAGCAAGTTACTACCTGACATGGGTCTTTGCTGTTAAAGTCTTAGATTTGATTCTTTTGTGCCCTGTCTGTCATTTTGTATCTTAGCACATTCTGTCAGCAGTAGGGGAGTGGAGTTCATGAAGTCTTAGAGACTTAGGCCAAGGCTGAAATTGAACAGCCTCTTAAGTAGCTAGCCTTAGAGCTAGCCTCTTGAGTAGCTAGAATTACAGTGTTGAGTCACCAAGTGTCCGGCTTAAAACAATAACAACAAACTGGTTTTTAGAAAGCGAAGTTAATTGTTACATAGATGCCAGTTCTAAGAGTAGTATAAGAGTTGGAGTTTGAGAACTTTTTTTTTTTTTTAGCAGTACTGTGGCTCAAACTCGGGGTCTTGCACTTACTAGGCTGGTGCTCTGTTACTTGCCTGGTACTTCTGTCATCTTTATTTCAATAAGTGCTGGTTCTTTTTTTTTTGGGGGGGGGGTCTGGTCGTGGAGCCTGAACTCTGGGCCTGGGTGCTGTCCCTCAGCTCTTCAGCTCAAGGCTAGTGCCCTACCACTTAAGCCACAGCATCACTTCTGGCTTTTTTCTTTTTGCTTATGTGGTGCTGAGGAATCGAACTCAGCGCCTCATGCATCCAAGGCAAGCGCTACCACTGAGCCACCTTCCCAGCCCTAAGTGCTGGTTCTAAGTAGCTTATCACCAAGACATGTTTTCTCTCTCTTATTTTACCCTGTTATGAGAATACACTGTATTGGATATAGAAATGTGCTACAGTTTCCCCAAGGAAAGGTTTACCCCAGCGGGAGGAGCGCTGCCAGTAGTCGCTTTGTCACCTCATGCAAGGATTACCTCAGCCACTAAGTACTTTTGTGGAAGCCATGTTTATCCCGGTGCCTGACAGAAGCAGGCCAGGCCTGGCTATTTCCCCATAGAACAGGAAGGGTCTGGCTGACGGGACCTGTCTAATTGTAAACCTCGCATGGGGTTTAGGGATGATCTTTAACTTGCTTTGCAGCTCAGCTCCCCCTCCACACTAGTGCCATATCGGTGCTTAGAAGCGAGCACTGAATCAAAATTTGTGCTGGGGCTGTAGCTCAGTAGCATGTGCTTGCCTCTCCTCCCAACAAGGTCCTTTACCTTCTAAATATACTTAAGGATATTTTAATTGGTAATTAAAAGTATCCTTTTTTTATAATCTTTATTAAGGATTATTCCTTAATAAAGCTGTTTCTAATTTTTAAATGTCTAAAACAGACCAGTGGCAGTCTATTTGGTAATTACATTAGGTCAAGTTAAGCAGGCTTTGTACAAGGTTTTTTTTAACAAGCTGAGGGAGTGTGATATTTTTGCTGGGGATGGTGGCAATTTTGATTTAGTAATTATAGGACTGAAGAACAACTAGGTCACAAATTTCATACAACCTGATGGCTTTACCTCAAATTTCTAACTGCTTATACAATGGAAATTCAATAGTTGAAATATTACAAGGAAACAGGTTTCTCCAAGACTGAGCTACTGTTCTATTTAAGTATAGAAGCAGGGGCTGGGAATATGGCTTAATGGTAGAGTGCTTGCATGAAGCCCTGGGTTTGATTCCTCAGTACCACATACATAGAAAAAGCCAGAAGTAGTGCTGTGGCTCAAGTGGTAGCGTACTAGCCTTGAGCAAAAGAAGCTGAGGGACAGTGCCCAGGCCCCAAATCTAAGCCCCAGGACTGTAAAAACAACAAAAGGGGCAGATTTTAGGTTTTGTGGCACTGGGGGTCAAACCTAGGACCCCACAGGGTAGACAGGTATTCTATCATAGGGAGTAGCTCTCCAGTTCTAGGTACATATACTTGGGCCTACATGAGCCACAGGTACATGGCTCTGGGCATATTTTTAAGAAGATACACTCAAGGAAGCTAGCAATGCCAGGATTCTTACAAAGTAATCACAGAAACATACCTGGTCATAGGGTAATGTATCCTCATCATAGCCTGTTTCAGGGATACATGTTTTCACTGCTTTCCCCTTCCCATACTCTAGAAGGGATGCAGTCAATCTACAATCTCAAAACAGACTAAGCTCCACCTTCTGAATGGTACACATATTTGTAATTTTTCTGTAAGAAAAATTATCTCCCAAGTGGCCATTTTTTTTTGGGGGGGGGGGAGGGGAGTGGTTGTGAGGCTTGAACTTTGGGACTGGGTGCTATCCCTGAGCGCTTCAGCTCAAGGCTAGCACTCTACCACTTGAGCCACAGCATCACTTCTGGTTTTCTGGTGGTTTACTGAAGATAAGTCTCAAGGACTTTACTGCCCAGGCTGGTTGTAATCCTCAGATCTCAATCTCCTGAGTAGTTGCCTGGCTTCAAGTGGCCAGATTTTAAAAACTTTTTTCAAGTTTTGACTAAAAAAACATAAAAAAACTTTTTTAAAGAGATGACTTGAAGTTGGGTGCTGGTGGCTCATAACTGTAATCCTAGCAACTCAGAAGGATGAGATCTGAAGATTGCAGTTCAAAGCCAGCCTGGGCAGAAAAGTCCATTAGATTCTGATCTTCAATAAACTGCTCAGAAAAAGCTGGAAGTGGAGCTGTAGCAAGTGCTTGAGTGCTAGTGTTGAGCAGAGGCAATCAGGGATAGCACCTAGGCCTACAACTCAAGCCCCTGGACCAGCAAAATAAATGAATAAATAAAAAGGCAAAAAAAAGTGACTGACACAGTATTTTAAAAAATCAAGCAAGGGATGGGAATGTGGCTTACTGGTAGAGTGCTTGCCTAGCATGTATGAAGCCCTGGGTTCAATTCCTCAGTACCATATAAACAGAAAAAGCAGCCGGGCGCTGGTGGCCCACGCCTGTAATCCTAGCTACTCAGGAGGCTGAGATCTGAGGATCGTGGTTCAAAGCCAGCCCGGGCAAGAAAGATTGTGAGACTCCTATCTCCAATAAACCACCAGAAAACCGGAAGTGGCGCTGTAGCTCAAGTGGTAGAGCGCTCACCTTGAGCTGAAGAGCTGAGGGACAGCGCCCAGGCCCAGAGTTCAAGCCCCACAACCGACAAAAAAAAAACAAAACAGAAAAAGCCAGAAGTGGCACTTTGTCTCATTTGGTAGACTGCTAGCCTTGAGCCAAAGAAGCTCAAGACAGCACCCAGGCCCTGAGTTCAAGCCCCAGGACTGGCAAAAATAAAAAAATAAAATTAAAAAATCAAGCCTGATGGTAGTGGTTTATGTCTGTAATCCCCAACTATTTAATAGGTTGAGATTTAATCATGAGACTCTTCTCTCCAGCTAAAAGCTGGAAGTAGCGGTGTGGCTCCAGTGGTAGATTGAAGAAGTCAAGCAAGAGCATAAATGCAAGTTCAAGCCACAGTATCAGCATATATGTACACACATACAGAGACAACCAAGTATGAAATATTTCTATGCTATATACTATAAAGACACAGGTAAAACATGGGTATTTGGGATCTTTTTTATTTTTATACACATGACAAGATTTTACACCAAGAATAGTCAGTTAAATAGTACAAATTTACATTCATGAGGAATGTTAAAAAAAATTCAACTAAAAAACCCACTTCTTCCAACATTTTACAGTGCAGGGGTGAGGGCAGCAGGGGGGAAGGGATCCAAAACAAGTCTCTCAAAAGCAATGACAAACATTTCACATTCCCTCTCCACACAGGGTCCATGGTGAGTGTATCACTTACAATTCATCTTTCTCAGCTGTAGATTTCTGTGAAAACAAAAACCCAAAGACATGAAACTCTAAAACTCAAAACAAACAAACCCATTTCAGTGGAATCAGCCTATTTCCAGCATTATAGCTACAGTGTGTCTGCAAAGTAAGATGGAACCCATCAACACCATCAATGGTTCCTCAAAGATGAGGAATCAGAATTTAGAACAGCTAGTGCTGCTATAGCAGACAGAAATGTACCAGGCTGCTTAAAAATATTTCAAGAGTGGACTAGGTAAAGGAATAAAGTAAGTAAAATCAGTTGAAGAAAACATGATTTGTTCAAGCTTTTGAAGTTGATATTGAATATTTCTGGGGATTTCTGTAAGTTTCAGAGTCTAGTCTGCCTTCTGTTAACTAACTTAACACTACCCTTTTAAAGATAGAGGTGCAGGTCCCACTTTTTCTCCCTTTTACCTCTGCTGTTTCTTGTTCTTCTTCGTCTGTTCCTGCATCCATCTCTTCCTCTTCGTCCTGCTCTGTGTCCTGCTCCACGTCTTCTGCTGTGTCTTCTGGTTCTTCTTCTGGCTCTTCTTCCACCTAAAGGCCATAACCACAGCCCATTAATGCCTTCAGCCTACTTTTATTTTGCTCCTTTATGGATAGCACTCCTTCTAATCTTCTAGTTGAGATGCAGTCAA